AATCCCTGTGGAATCGACCTCGCACTTACATATGCTATACTACCAACGGTTCGTGCACTTGCGAGTATCACAAGTTGAGGATGCAGCTTAATCCATTTTGGTGGAGCTAAATCTACGCAACACAAACCTCATATTACCATTTTACGAACAACTCCATATAAGAGATCCAATCAATGCTAAAAACTATCCCATTCCTTTTAGGCATTTTGTAAAGAGAAATTAAATATGTTGACAGAAAATCATGTAAACATACTTCAATTAAAGCATACCCATTTAGCTTTACAAAAGTACGCATAATAAACCAAAAGCAGTTTCCCATATTTTTCACTCGCTCTTTCTTCACGTCTTACAGCTTGGATACATACAAGATACCATCTGAAGTGTCCAAAGCAAAATGGTTATACCTTCAGGAGCGCACACAAAGTTGGAACAAACACAGTAAAAATGAACTTTTAGGCACGTTTTTCCAAACAAACTGACTGAAAATAACGAAAATGAACGTTGTCCAGCGACGGTTTACTCCATGGTGATTCCGTTCCAGTTGTAGCTTGGGACAACACATTTTGCATACTCTCGGAACAGGTCAAACCCTTTACGTGCTTCTGCTTCCCTCATCTGCACTGCCTCATTCGACCCCCTGAACCTTCAACAACCATTTCCTTTCGCAAGCCTAACCCTCAGTTTCATTAGTTTGACTGATCGAAGGTGTAATTTCGCTTGACTTTTCTCCTTCCCCAATATTTCTTCATACCATCTTAGACGTATCTTCTGACGTTTTATTTCAGTCAACAACGCATCGTACCGCATCTGGCCGATACGACCTGCATCATCGTGGTCCTCAGATGAAAAGTTGATGGATTTCGCAGGTCCTACAGGAACATCTTCAACGTTCTTATTCTTGTATGAGATAGGGTCTGCATTTTTTGGTCACTACAACACAAAACCCCTTCCATGACGTCTGACTTGCGTCATGGAAGGCATTTAATGACGCGGATCAGGCGTCGTAACCCGCGTCGTCGAAAGGGGGGGTCATGGAAACTTTTTCAAAACACGACGTCTGTTCCGCGTCATGGAATGGTGTTTCAATGACGCGAATAGTGTGTCGTGAAAATGTTTTCAAAACATGACGCATGTTTCGCATCATGGAATGCGATTTCAATGACGCATATAGCGTGTCATGGAAACTTTTTCAAAACACGACGTCTATTCCGCATCATTGAATATTGTTTCAATGACGCAGATAGCGTGTCGTGGAAACTTTTTCAAAACACGACGTCTGTTCCGCGTCATGGAATGGGGTTTCAATGACGCAGACTAGGCGTCATTGAACTTAACGACGCTAAAGAGACGTCATTGATATAATTTTCATGACACGGTTTAGACGTCGTTGAAATTCTTTAAATTTTTTTTGATAAATTTTTTATATATATATATATATATATCCCATCATTTTAATTATGCATAAAGAAATTAATATATAAAAGGAAAAATGAAGACACAGAGGCAAACTACTCTAAATTATATTTCTATTATTCAAAATGATTCTAATACATTAAAATTGTCTTTAACTAATCCCACAAAGTCAATCCTCTAAAGTTTGAGAAGATTTGATACTTGCACTATCCAAAACAAAGTAAGCATCCAAAAAGATTATCTCCATGATAGTTTGAGAGGATGTGATGCTTCATGTCCAAAAGTGGGTGTAAATGGTACTAAAATAATTACAACCACACCTGCATTAAAACACAAGATCGGAAGATGAGACTGAAGGTCTAGAAATTACAAGAGCAAGTATGTGCTCTGAATTTTCTATAAACAGGGAAATCACCACCATTTTCATAGGGCATTCAACATTGGAATTTCAGTTGGGTCTAAAATTACATCTTAGAGTCTTACCAAAATGATCCTTTATTACCAACAAGTAACAATCTCAAACCTAAACGTGTGTGTGTGTTATATGCGAGTGACAATAAGTGGCCCAGAGAAGAAGATCAATTTGATGGTTTTGGGGATGCTGAAACAAAATACCTTCTGAGATAAAATGTCCACAATGGTCCAGAACTCTGATTGATTCCATGGCTGACCTATAAAACACATGCAATCTCATAAAATAGCCAAATTGTTCAAACAGAGAAAAAACCACAAGACAAGAACCAAAATTGAATGAGAATTAAAAGTGAAAATGGATTGAAACAATCTCTCTCTCTCTCTCTCTCTCTCTCTCTCTCTATATATATATATATATATATATATATATATCTCTCTCTCTCTCTCAGCATAATTGGGGCCATTGGATCTCAATGTTCACATTATATGGGATGTTGCCTTTAAAGTTAAAAGTTCACAGAGACTACTTACCAAAACCGACTCTCCAAACAGCCCTTAATTTCAATATTTCTTTCAAATAAATTTTTTCTATTTCCTGCTCACCAAACAACCTAAATGAGAAGCAATTTTCTAGAAAATTTTAATTGTCTATTTAGGAAAGTGCATGCATGCCTTTAATCTAGAAAAAAAAAAAAACAGAAGACCTGAATGACAAGCAATTTTATGTTTTATTGATAACTTTTTCTGGTAGTTTTCTCATGAACCTGAATATGTTAGAAGCTAAAAGGTCTTCGCACATCATCAAAAGACAAGAAAAGTATACAGTAGTACAAGCAAACAATCGAAAAAAGTGATCATGGAAAACTTAACTGGGACAAGCCATCAAAAACAACAATCTCTCTTTCATCTGAGTTTATACTTCATCTCAAGCCTATCAAGCAATCACCACCAAAACAGAAACCAAATTAAAAAAAAAATTATAAGAAACAATCAATTAAAAAGAAAATTAACCAAGTACAACAGCAAACAGAAAAAAAACAGGTGGAACAGGTGGACAAGAAATCCACCAACACCACCAGAAAGAAACAAACAAACTAAGGGCTAACAAACAGCCAGACATCAATAAACCTAACCACCCAGAATCAGCACATAACAGCCTTCCAATCCAGGCGGATTAGGTGAAGCGAATAATCCCTGAACTCAGGCACAATAGAGGCCCACAAGGAACCCCAAAACGGAACTCTATCCCAAAGCATGTGCTCTAGTATATCTTACCATAAATTTCAACCTTCAGTTTTCCAGGTAGATAGTCAAAATGATTTAATATGCGTAGTGTGCTGAAAATAATGAGCACCATCCCAATCTGCGCCTTCTGTTTACATGCACAGTTTATATATCTTTTAGGGGCTGCCCATTGCATACCCCCTTTAACTTGGCTTGTGGTATTTTTACTTACTAACAAAAGGGAAACAGAAAAGAAAATTAACAGTCAGATTCAACAAAGAAAATGGAAGGAAAAAGTTGTTGGATGTTGTGTCATTCATTGACAAGATGAGCAGATCATACTTACAGAAAAAACAGAGGAAAGACTACAAAGATTTCATCCATATAAAAGAATTTATGGCATTTGTTTCCTGTTCAATTTCAACCATTCAAGTTCTGCCATAATCAAAGATCCTATGATTCCTCTCCATCCAGATGACCCCAAAACAAAAATCCAACCCCAAAAATAAATATAGAAATTAAAACAGCAAAACAAAATCACAATAGCATGAATAAAATTAAAACCAAAAGGAAAAGAGGGAGATGATACCTTGATAAAATCTTGGTCTCCAGTCAAACGAATTTTAGGATAAAATCTTGAACATATCCAATTGAACCCAAATTGAACCACCAATGTCAAACCCAACTGTACCTTCCGAAAAATCATCCACCATCGACCATGGTACAGTGCAACCATATGGAGATTTGTGACTTCGAATGAGATGAAGATCTGTGACTTCAAAGGGGAATATGAGAGAGAAAATGAGAGGGAATCAGAGAAAGGTTGGGAGGGGGAGATAGAAAAGGAGAGGGATATCATTGTATCAATATTGCACAAAAAGAGTGAGAGAGAGAGAGAGAGAGGGTTACCTTGAGAGTGCAGACATAGGGAGCTTTGGGAACGAATAGAATTTCTGCTTAGAACTGGAGCTAAGATGTGTGAGGTCTTGTGATATGGTTGCTAGATGAGAGAGCACAAGAAGAATTAGGGTAGGATGTCTGTATTTTGGGTCTGAATTGGAGTTGGAGATAGCGACAGAGTATCTAGAAAATAGCGGGAGAAACAAATTCCAGTGAAAAAAAAAGAGCGCCAGAGGATGAAAAATTTTGGGCTACATCTATGACGCATATTATGTGTCGTCGTATAAATATTTCATGACATGTTGAAGACGTCGTTAAATTCTTTTTACACCTATGACGCATGTTCTGCGTCGTTGTATAAGTGTTTCATGACGTGTAGAAGACGTCGTTAATTTAAGAAAAATCTATGACGCAGGTTCTACGTCGTCGTATATGGTACATTTATGACGCAGATCCTGCGTCGTTGTATAAGTACTTCATGACGTGTAGAAGACGTCATTAAATTCACAATATTAACGACGTATGATAGGCGTCGTCTAAATGTACTCAAATCAATGACACACATCCTGCGTCATTGAAAATGATTTTAATGACGCGTCAAGCAAATGTCGTGATAACGGTGTCATAAACTCACTTCGATGACGCATTTTAAAAACACGTCATAGTTTATCACATTTAATGACGTGTATTTTCGATGCGTCATTAAATCTGTGTCATAAAAAGACATTTTTTTTGTAGTGGGTGGAGTTGTTATAAGTATGGGGGGGATTTTTGTAGGTGAACCCATAGGGAGTTGAGGGTTGTTTGGACCAACTGGTGGTGCAATGTGAGGTACAATATATAACTTTGTTATTTATACAGCAGTCCCCTTACTAATTTTCCCGCCAACATTAATTTGTTCACTTGGACTGGGGAGCCGTCCCACTTGAGATACCTAATTTCCGTGGTGATGTCATATTTGCATTATTAGTATCAGACACAGTTGTTTCATTTTCTTTACAGGTGATAAGCAGAAAAATTAAGTATCACATTTGCTTCAAAAGTGGTGATGTGATTTTAGCATAATAATTATCACGAAAAGCATTTATAATTTTGTGACTGCTGCCGGTGACAAGTGGTATCATAAATGCTCTCAATATGGGAGCGCGCGAAACCAATTGAGTCCCTCCAGCTTCAGCGATAACTGTCAATTGTCGTTTCACTCACACCGCTTGGGAAACGAATACATTTTTAAACTGATCTAAACCCTTGTCTTCGTCCATTGTCAAGTGGGTCACGCCAGTTGGGTTTATATGCGGCACTTCCTTCTTCGTCCCCAAATGACACCTTGATTATTAAAACCTTCACAGACCCTTTTCAGTCCCTCTTCTCCACAGACCCTTTTCAGTCCTCTTCTCCACAGACCCTTTTTAATCCCTCTTCTCCAACAACCAAGATGGATATTCCACATTTGGCATGGTTTAAGGTGCTGCTCGCGGTTGCAAAGCACTCCTCTGAAGATCTGTACAGCATGGCGGGAACATGCAAGTTATTTCAACAAATGCTGAATGATCCTGAGGTTTGGACAATCGTGTCAGTAGATAAGTACCAGTGGCATGAGGACTGGTACGGTGAAGATGAAGGCAAAATTATTGAGTTCTTGCAAAAGTGCAAAGAACAGAACAATCAAGAAATCATTTACAGAGACGCTATTCAGGACTTCTTCCTGAAGATTGATGATGAGGCGCTGAAGAACCTGCGGGTGGCGGCTATGGCAGGGCATAAGGAAGCCTCCTACCTTGTTGGCTTGCTAGGGCTGTTGAACCCTAGCCAGGGCAAGGAGAATGCGATGGAGTTTTTGTGCCATCTCAGCAAAAAGAAGAAACTGAACAGGCAAGCTTGCAGGGATTCAACAAGCAATCGACTGCGTCGGTATACAATGTGTGCCACCGTGACTCCTCCTATGCTTCAAAAGTTTACTGCAGACGAACAATTTTTACAAGACTGCATTCACTGTGAGGGTAATCGGGAGTGGTATCAGTTATGGAACTGCTGGGGCGTCGACTGGCACAACGTAAATGCTTGGAACTGCTGTGAACCCTGCAAATGGAAGAGGGAGCTATTCTGCATCCAGCACGAACTCCAGTTGATCACTGCATGGGTTTAAGGTCTATATACATGGTATGATAGGTGTTTTATTAATAAATTGTGCTTTTGGTTTTTAGTGTTTTTATGTAAAGCTGAAACTGTGTGAACTTTGTATTGTTTTTATTTGAAGTCTGTTTATGGTTTTGGGTCCTATATCGTTTCAGTAAGTAGTCTCAAATGAGGAATTGCTGGTTCATATCCCTCAAACACTCATTCGTTAAAGATGACAGACAGGCATATGGCAGGGAGGTTGCGTGTTGTCAACCCGAAAAGGGATTATCCTTTCAGTCACTTCGTTGACAAGTGGATGTCTGACACATCCTTGATCTTCTAAGATACTCTGATGATCCCATAAATACCCCAAAAAAATCCCCCTAATTTCCTGATTTGTCCTGCATTTGAAACTATATTTGCAACAAAACAGAAGTGTAATTAAGTCATCCGGTAATCCCTTTTCACTAACATAATTATTTAAATATCGC